GGTGAGCGCCAGACGGGACAGTGGGGGAGCAGCACACAGCCTCCCGGTCAGAAACCGGCCCAAGACCACAGAAACATGCCAGAGGCTGGGCCTGCTCCCGTGAACCACCCCAAACACGCACGGCACCCCAGCACATGGAGCTGCTGTCACCCCCCCCTTCACAGACAGGTCAAGTGACAGCAAGAGGACATAGTCAGCCAGCCTTAAAGAGGCCAGAGCCCACCCTCTTGACCAGCACAAACCACACCACAGACCAGGCCCCACAGGACCCTCAAGGTGAGCCAAGAACTGCCCATACCCAACATGCAGGTATGTGACGTCAAATTTCAGCCGTCTGGGCCCTGAGACAAAAAGATCAGGCCACACGTGACCAGGGAGCCACAGGGGGCAAAACCTGTGCCCCCAGCCCCTGCAGCTGACCCCCAGAACCTTCGCCACCCTGAAACATGCTCTGCAGTTTTGGAGAGCCCAGCAGAGTGGGGTGCTCCAGACATGGGGAAGAGCATGTGAGCCAACACACATAGCCCACGCGTGCCCCCACCGCACGCGGGCACACACCGCCCAGCACACCCCACCTCGCCAACGCAAAAGTGGGCAGTGGCCTTGGAGCGCCTCTGCCAGCGCATGTGCCGGGCAGGGCCAGGCTGGCAGCAGACAGCCCTCAGCGGCATGCTGGTGACTTCCCCCGGCAGGCCCGGAGCCCAGGCGGCCTGGTGCCGACCCTGGAAGGGGAAAAGCCACATGGCCCCTGGCTGGGATCCACCGTCACCCGCCTCCAGAACATTCCTTACTTTCAAAAAACGGACCACATCGTAAAGTTTCAAACCCTGGCCCTGGGAGACACAGGAGAGGAGGTGGGGCGAGCTCTCTGGGGCGCCGGACCTGTGCTGCAGGGCCTTGGGGGGTGGGGGGTCATCCTGCTGCGTGGAGGCTGCTGACAGGCTCTGAGCAAGTCAGCCCCGCGGCCTCCCCTCCCGGCACCCTCACTCACGCCGCCACTGCCCAGAATGCTCTTGCGCAGAGGGTGCACCTACGGGCCAGGATGCGCCCTGTGTGCACTTTGCCCCCTTCCTGACTGGCCCAGCAGACGTGACCATGCCCAACCAAAGCCGTGGCAGAGGCGGCGGCGGTGTGTGCACACCTAAGGACGTGTGCACGCTCCGGGACCCAAGCTCACGCATGTGTGCAAGGGCGGGTGTGTTCGAAAGGAGGATTCGTTATTCTGCACCTTTTGCTGCAAACACGAAGTTCACCCATGGTCACATCGGGTGGTGGAGACGGCTTCACTCGAGCCTCCGGGGAAGCTGCAGCCAGCTGCCTGCCCTGAGATTCCGGTCGCAACTCAACCCCAGGCTGCACCCCAACCTGAAACCCAGACCGGCAGGAAACACATGGCTGCAGTCCCAGCTGAGAGGGCCCTCGGGAGGAAGCAGCTGGCACTTAACATCCACAGAGCTTCAGCCCGCGCCTAACCTGCCAGCTCTAACGGTGCCCGGGTCTCTCCTTCTCCTTCACACCAGCCCCAGACAACAGCAGCAACCTCACCGCGAGGGAGCCCCGATCATTCCGATGGGGCACCCCCGGGCGCTCAAAGCCGGCTGAGTGCGCAGGCGGCGGGTGCCAACGCAGGGCGACCACAGGCCTCAACGGGGCTCTGATTTCCACAGGAGCCAAGGGACGCCTCCTGGCATTTCCAGTTCCCTGGAGAAATCAACAATTGATTAACGGTTGGTCTCTGCTCCAGGGTACAGTGGCCCACAGGGGACATCCGGGAATGTCTGAAGACACCCTGAGTTGCTGTGGCCTGGGGGAGGGTCCTACTCCCATTGGCACTAGTGGGCAGAGGCCGGGGTCGCTGTGAAGGCCAGCACTGCAGCTGAGACACCCTGGGTCTGAGCATCAGAGGGGCAAACGCCAGAAAACGGGGTGTCGGGTAGGTTTCAGGAAGCCAGGCTCCGTGTTTGGGAACATCTGGATGGAGAAGAGGAGGCAGAGGCCCAACGCTGGTGATCTTAAAAAAAAGAAAATGCCACTGTAGGGGCTGCCCACAGAGGTGCAGGGCGTCGTCCATGGCTGGGGCGCCCCAGGGCCCTGGGGCGGCTAACCCGGCCGGAGGAGTGGCAGTCTGGCGGGAGGCAGCGAGCCCCCATCTGCTTGCTCCGCCCCCGCCTCTCCAGCGAGCCAGAGAAGAAAGGGGGGCGATTTCTAAGAGACGGGGGCACCACCGAGCTCCACAGAACACCGGGGCCTCCCTCCTTTCCGCTGAAGTAGCCGCAGTGAACTGGGGGGAGAGGGCGTCACCTGAGCGGCTGTTCTCCATGCCAAGCCCTGGCACTTTTCAAGAAGAGTCTGCTTCCTCAGGGTGTGTTCTGGGAATTCCCATCAGACAGCCTCTCGCCCCTTGGCTCTCAGAAAAAAATGGGGGACCCTTCTGAGAGTGTCTTGTGAAAGTCAAGTCAAGCCCACCCCAGGTACCTGGGATCCTCGGAGCCCGGCCAGGGCCCACCCTCCTGGGTGCAGAGGCTGCTGCTGCCTCTGGCCAGCAAGTCCCGTGGATCTGCTCTGGAGACCAAGCTCCAAGTTCAAGAGTCAGTGTGTGCTCCACCAGCACCCCCCACCCCCACCCCGGTCCAGCCTGGGGTGCAGAATGGGGGCAAAGCCTGAAGGCCCTGGATCCAACCTCGTCTGAAATCGGAGGCAACGAAAGACCACACGGGAGACCCAGCAGCACTGGGCGGGGGCAGGGAGCCGTCCTGGCACTGACCTGTGCCCAGACCTCGGAGGGCAGAGGCCCCTTCCGAACTGCCAGGATGCCGTGGTGCCACTTTCAGACGAAGAAACCGAGGTCTGGGGGGCTTACGGGACACTACCTGGCCGCTGCCCTGCGGCCACCTCCAAAGCACCAGTTGCAAACAGCCCGTGAGGGCTCAGCGGTGCCACACAAAGGGGCCGCTACTAGCTTCTTTCTTCCCTCCTGGGTGCCTATCTTTTGATATAAAGAAATGCCAGGCGTGAGGCTGCCTCATCCTACCCCTTCCGGGAAATCTGATTAGCACTTGCAACAAACTGTTACATTATACCTGCCTTTTAAAGCTCGCTTTCCCTGCCCTGGGCTTGCTTCCAGTAAGTGAGGGCGTGGGTACCAACTACTACCTGGGCCAGGGCGGCCCAGATGCAGCGGCCAGACACTAGCCCGGGGGCCTGACTCAGGGCCCTCTGCGGGGCAGCGCAGGGGCCGGCGCGGGATCTGGTGCCGGCCGGAACAGGATCAGGGCCGATGAGCCGAAGGGGCAGAAATAAGAAGGGATGATCTTACAAAGTCCCGCGCACAAAGGCCCGGAGCAGCCCGTCCACCGTGCGCAGCCTGCGGGGAGGGAGGTGCACCCCCACGGTGGCGAGGACCCCGGGCTGGGAGGTCCCCCGGGGCGCTTTCCGAGAGGAGGAGAGAGGCCCAGAGTGCTTAAGCAGCAATCCATTTAGCAGTGGCGAGACTCTCCAAACATGTGCGAACACATTTTAATAATATCTTCGTGCATTTCATTAGCCTCCCGAGTTCACAAAGGGCCTTTGGGAAGCAATCTGGTTTAATGCAACTCAATTCCGCAAACGCTAGCTCTGGGCAGGTTCTCCTGGCACCTCGCTGGCCTGGCTGGGGGGGGGCGGAGAGGTGAGGGCAGCAGGGCTCCCCGCGCCAGGGGAGGTGGCAGGACCCACCGCTGCAGCGCCTGCTGCCCCAGCAGGGCCGGGGGTGGGTTATTTTTACCCCTTGAGCCTCACTGTACAGGCGCGGGGCGCACACGGTGGCAGCCGCCCGCGGAAACTGGCTCATGAGTCACCCAGGGCGGCCCTGCCCTGGCGGCGGCCTCGGGCTCCGGGTCCCAGCCCCGAGAAGCCTGGCCTGGCAGGGAAGGGCTGTGTCCCCTCGCCTGGGGCGCACAGGGGTGAGGATGGGGAAACTGGAGCCCCGAGTGGCAAGAGGCCCCCCAAAGGACCTCTGGAGGAGGAAGTGGGGCGAGAGGAGCCTGGGGTGGGGGAGCAGGTCCCCACCCCGCCGGACGGCCACCTGGGTGGGCTCTGCCGGACGCGAGCGGAGGCTCATTGGTCTCAACTTCCCGGGGCACGGGGCAGGCAGTGCCAAGCTGCAGACACCCCCTCCCCGGCCCCGGCCCCCCTCCGGCTGCAGGACAAGGCCGTCCGGAACGCAGACGGCCTCAAACTTTGACTCATTTGTAACCACCATCCCGGCCAGACTGAGCCAAGCGTCCAGACAGAGGCTATTTATAGGTGCTTCGGGGACAGACACACAATGACACACGCTCGCGGTCCACGTCTGGGCAGCCCCGCCAGCCCGAGCCCCGGATCCAGACACCTGGGCGCAATCGGCCCCGAAGCCCCCAGAGATGCGCGGGCTCCAGCGAGGCGCCAGACGGCGGCCCCGACTCGGGGCGCGCGGCCGGGACAGACGGCGACCCACGCGCGGAGCCCCAGACAGACCCGGGCGCGCCCCCGCCGCAGACGCAGGGGAACCCCTCGCCGGCCGCGGCCGCGCCCCGCGCACCCCCGGCCGGAGCCCGGCCCCCGCGGCCAGACGGCCCCGCGCCCTCCGCGCCCCCGCGCCCCCCCGCGCCCCCCCGCCAAAGTTGATCAGGGCGGCCTCGCCGCCCGCCGCGACCGCCCCCCGGGAAATGAAGGGGAAACTTCGCGCGCGCGCCCGCCCGGCCCTCCGCGCCCCGCGCCCTCGGCCGCGCCGCCCGCCCGGGGTCCGATCCCGGCGGGCGGGCGGGCGGGGCCCGGGGCGCGGGGCCCGTGCCAGGCTCCCAGCGCCGCGGGACAAAGCCGGGCCGGCCGCCAGCTGCCGCGGCCGGGAGGGCGCAGCCGGGGCGCGGCGGGCGCGGGGCGCCCCGTCCGAGGGGCGCGCGCCGCCCGGGCCCGGCCCGCAGCTGCGCCGCGCCGCGGGGTCGGGGCCGCGGGGCGTCGGGGAGGGGCGCGGGGTCACTCACTGATCTCCATGCTCTGGAACAAAGAGCGCTTGCAGTTGCACGTGCAGGAGACATTGGGCTGCCCGGCGGCGGCGGCGGCGGTGCTGTTGACCCCCATCAAGCGGTGCATGGACGGCGCGGCGGCGCGGGGCGCGGCGCGGGGGGCTGGCGGGCGGCCGCGGGGGGCTCCGGCCGGCGCCCGGCGCGCGGGCCCCGCATGCAGGAGGCGCGCGGCGGGAGCGGCGCCCGGGGGCCGGGCTCGGGGCCGCCGAGGGCCCCGGCGCGGGCTCAGCGCGCGGGGCCGCGCTCCCCTGCGCCCCCCGGCCGCCCCTCGGCCGCCCCGGGCGCGTCGGCGGGGCGCGCGGGCGGCGAGCGGGCTCGGGGCTGGCAGCCGGGGCGCGCGCGGCCGCCGGGGCTGAGCCTCCGCCGCTGGCTTCCCCCCGCCGGGCGCCGCCGCCGGCTCATTCAAGTCCAAGGAGATCGGGTTTCGCCGCGAGACCGCGGCCGGAGCAGACGGTCTGACGTCAGCGCGAGACGGGGCCGCCGGTTCCCACCGCGCGGGGGCCGGGGAGGGGGCGCGCGCTGCGCCAATCCCCGCCGCGGAGCCCCGCACCCCGCCCGGGCCGCGGGGCGGGGAGACCGGCCGGGGCGGGCTCTTAAAGGGCCCGCGGGCGGCCCGCGGCGGCGGCCCCGCGCGCGGGGGGGGCGCGCGCACCCCGCCCCGGCCCGGCTCCCCCGCGGCGCGGGGCGCGCCCCGGCCCCGCCGCTCCCCGGGCGCCGCGAGCGCGTGTCCCCAGCCGCCCCCGGGGTCCCGACCCGGCTGCGGGGCGCGCCGGCCCCCCGCCCCGGGCGCGGGAGACTCCCCGGGCGCGGGCCGGGCAGCGAGAGAAGGTGGGGGGTCCTCGGGATCGCCCCGGCCGGATTTCGCGGGAAACTCCCCGCCCCGGGCTCCGCGGCCCCGCGCGCCCCGGCGCACTTTACCCCGACCCGGGGAGGTCGCGCGGGGAGAGGCGCCCGCCGAGACCGCCCGGGGTGGGGGGGCCGCGCCGGCCGCGCGGGGCCCTCGTCGGGTAAATGCGCGTCGGCAACTTGTGCGGAGTCCGGCCGGGCCCAGGGCGAACCCACACCCTTTGTCTGCAGCCCTCGGGGCCGCCGGCTGGGGGGCGCGGCCCGGAGTTCAAACGCGGGGGGAGGAAGTGCGGGGGTGCCCCTTTATTTCATTAAGTTTTAATTACACGAGCGCGACAAGAGCACCTTCTCCCAGTTTGAAAAGACATTAAACCATTGCGTAAGAGGCCCCCTCCCTGGCGCGTCTCCAGCCCCCCCACAATTTGGTGTATTCCCTCCTAATCCCTTCCCTAATTGTCTCTCTTTAACAGGCCCTCACGGAGCACCTACTGTGAGCAAGAAACTCCCCAAATAGAACTCAACCCCGGCCTCCCCGGAGAGCAGGGAAGGTCTGATCCCACCTTACAGGAGCAAGAGGCCTGTGGGTGGAGTCCGGGGAGCCCAGTCCCCCCAACCCCGGTGACTACCCCCCACGTAGATTTCCAGTTCTTTACATACCCATCAAGTCCTGTAAGGCCTGGAGCTGCAGTAATGAGCAGGGACTCCTTTGGGATTCAGGGGAATGTAGTTCTAAAAGTTCTTGTCGTGTCCTCCAATGACAATTAGAACCAGAACCAGAACCAGAGGCCGCGGCCTGCAGAGCCCAAGCCACCCCCGTAGGTGGGTGAGCTGCAGCTTGCCCTGGGCACTGTCGTGCCTCTTGCTCTCCTAGGAGGGCAGGTGAGAAACTTTTTCTGGAAACTGTTCGACCTCTGGGCTTATTGGCTGGCCACAGATTTTGGGGGGAGCCCAAGAGGGTCCAGGACATAGGGAGGGTCAAAGGGGTGCGTCTTCACTTGTCAGGGAAGGGAAGTTTACTCTTAGAACTCTGGGCTGTGCCAGCAACCAGGCGGGGTCATCCCGGGGTCCACCTGCCGTGGTCTGCAGGGGCTCAGCCGCCGAGAAGGGTGGGTCGGGATGACCTCATTTCCTAAGCTGAAGGAAATCGCCTTCTGTCCCTCCTTCCAGCCTACCCTTCACTTCCAATCAACAAATTCCTGCGCTCCAGCCCCGAGTGCAGGAATTCAGGAAAGCCAGATGCCACCTCTGCCCTCTTCACAGTCTCTGGCAGGCATCTGGCCACGTCTAGCAGCAAGAAAGCACACTCACTGATTGTCTTGGAAATGAGGGAGATTTGCACAATCCAGGTTAAAATAACCAGGCAAAAATATCTAGTTAATTCAGAGCATTAAAAAAAATAAACCCACCCACCCATGGCCCGCTGCTGGCTTGGTCCCGGACTACAGCTGGACCTCGCTGGTTGACACCAGGGTTCTGATCCATGCACTGACCACTGGTTAGCAGGCTCTGCCTTGGCTGCAAAGCTGGCTCCATGCGGGGGAGAAGGCAGCACTGGCTTAGCAGTTACGCACGTGATGCCCCCAAGCAGGGGGTGCTGGCATGGTTTTATTTTTCGTTTTATGGAGGGCAGGAAGGACCAGGGCCCCTGGCGAAGGTGGGTGGTAAGAAAGGACACACTTGCTTTGGGAGAAGCGTGGAATTAACTATCACCCTCCTGGGAGGCCTCGTGTGTGCCTAGGGCACCAGATAAATGCGGATTCCAGATAAACCACGAATAATATTTAGTGTGAACATATCTGTGCAAGATTTGGGACACGTGCACACTGAACATTTAAGAGTTGCTTATCTGCCATTCAAATTTAACTGGACTTCTGTATTTTTGTTTACTAAACCTGGCAGCCCAGGGTGAGCTGGGCACCGCGGTGCCGGGCAGTCTGGCCATGTGGGGCCCACACAGGAAGGGGAGCTAGAGAAGCAGGGACGTGGCCCAGCGTGCACAGCAGCTTCCGGTGTTCATGAGCCAGGGCGCGAGGGCTGGTTCTGCTGAGACCGACATCCTGGGGGGCCACCCGCCTCTGCTGGGCCAGCCTGGGGCCCACCGGAGGGGGAAGCTGGCAGGGCCCTCCTCCCGGCACCAGGCTCTGTGCTGGTAGCGGGCACGGGCACTGTCGTGTGTCACGGGAAACAGGGGAGACCACGGACACGTCAGCCCTGGAGGGCAGTTAGGCTGGCTCAGATAGGACCACGAAGAGTGGAGGCGGGCTTGGTTGGTGACTGGGGGAGGTCTCAACAAGGAGGGGGTGTTTCCTGAACTGGACAACGCAGGTGTCAGCATTTAAGTCCCTGGGTGGCTTCAGGGAGTGACCTTAGTTTGCAGGAGGTAGGACCCCAAGGGGGCAGGGTGGACACTTGGGGAGGTGGGAGCCAGACATACTAGGGACAGCTGACACGGAGCCAGGCTGAGGACAGAGGGTGTCTAGGCCAGTGGCTTCTGTGGGCCTAGGAAGCCTGGGGTTTGGGGTGTATTTCCCAACCCGGTGACAGGTCATGGGATTGTGAAATGGGTGTGTGTCCCCGGGCGACTGCTCAGGACAGGCCTTTCAAGGCCCAGACGGCGCGCGCCTCCTCTGCGCTGAGTTCAGGTTGAATCTGTTGTGGGGGCATGTTTGGAGGGAAAAGGTCCCTTCCCAGCCAGTAAGGAGGCCCTGCTCCCCACGGCACACCCCTGACAGGACGGGCTGTGACTAGGCTGGGCTCATACAGCTCTGGCACCAGGGCCGCCACGGCCCCCTGGGTGGGGTCCTGTCCTGGGTTTAATATTCCACCATCATCCTCTTAAAATTCTTGATGATGAATAATTCTTGAACGAGGAGCCCCAAGAATTCTGTAGTCAGTTCTGCTCGGGTGCCAGGCGCCGTTGGCAGCCGGTCGGGACACAGGGAAGCCAATATGGGTTTTGGCCGCAGCCAAGGGTGGCTGGCCAAGTCCCGACGGTGCCCACTGGGCATGGAGAAAGTGCCCGACTAAGTCAACAAAAGGCCTGCGAACTGCGGGCAAGGCCCGTGGGGCCTCAGAGGCCCGGCCCTGCCCTCCCTCCCACCGCCCCCAGGCTGGCCGGCCAGAGCTCCTTTTCCAGTCCCTGCGGAGGCCACCGGCAGCCAGAGCGCTTGGACAACCCCTCCTCCCGCCTCCGCTCCCCGCAGCGGCCCCAGCTGAGTCGTGCCCCCATCCTGCGGTGGTGTCACCAGCCGCCGCCGCCTCCCCAGGTGAGCCCCTTGGACTCCGTGGTTGTGTTTACTTGCCTTTGTCCTGCTTTGCACACGCGCGCGCCCGCTGGATGCTGTGGCCGGGCCCTGTTCTACCCACTGCAGAGTCGTCCATGTCATCACTCAGCAAGTGCCCCTCGGCGCCCCACGTAGCCAGGGGCTGCCCACAAAGTCCAGGCTCGTGTGACTCCCTTGGACGGCCGCGACCAGAGGAGCTCAGGGGCCTGAGGGAGCCGCGGGCGGGGCGTGGATGCGGCGGCCTCGCGCCTTGATCCCCTCCTGGCCGCCTCTGCCGTCTGCCCTGCCATCCCCTGCAATGGGGCCCCACGGGCCCCCTGGCTCCCTGGAGGTTCCCTGGCTCCCCTGGGTGCCACTACCTGCGCAGAACCTCCCCCCCAGAAGGAAGAGCGACCTCTGCGGGCTGGGGCAAGCGGGGTGGGGGGCACAGAGGTGAAAATCAAGCTTAGGTGAAACTACACTGGGCGCCACATGCATGGCCCCCCACATGTGTCTCCCCCGCCCTCTGTGGTGGGGGGGGCGCAGTAACTCACAGTGTGGGGCAGAGCAGCAGGTACTTACTGCTCATGGTGTGTCTCCCTGCACCAGTGACCCCTCGACCATCTGATTTGCCCCCTCCCCCCCTCCCCAGCCCCATCACTGGACATGTCTCCCTGCCACAGGCGCTGGGCACACTCATGGGGCGAATGTGAGCCAATCCACACAGAAGCCAGAAACATACAGGGTCCCGTTGGGGCAACCTTACCACTTGCTGACCCTTCTGTCTTCCCTGCTCCCCCCTCCCCGCCCCCAGCAACTCTCTCACTGTGCCCTGGAGGCTCACCTAAGGCCATGCCCTGGACACGTGCTGGAGGCCGGAAACCTGGGCCTTAACCGTAAAGCTGGGAGGGGAGTGTGTGTGTGTGCGTGTGCGTGTGCGTGTGTGTGTGTGCACGCG